TGGCGAAGCAGAGGACCAGGTCTGACGGAGAGTGCGTGTCCGGATACGTGATGAGGAACGCGTTCCCGGGCGACTTCGTCTGCGTCAGCCCGCACGACAAGCAGCAGGCGTCCGAAGACAATATGCTCAACGAACTGCGTCTGCGGTACTTCAAGTTCTTCAACGGAGTCGACGAGGTCAGCTACAACAGTAAGGTGTTTCCGGCGACGCTGTCCACCGACGGAAGGTGATCGCAGCCCTCGATCCGCCCTGCTTCCGGTATAGCATCCGTCGATGACCGATGACCGATGACCGATGACTGCTGACCAACGGCGCTGTAGCAACGGATCTCATTTCCAGCCAGGACCAACCGCGTTTCCATTTTTAAAAAGTCAGTTAGTGGCTGCCGTTATGAACTTACGCTCTGAACCTGTAGGACAGTTATAATTACAGAAGTAAATCGATATAGGAAGTGTGTTGAGTGGAACGATGCGACTGAGCAATGCATTGATTCTGTTTTGCGGCGTTATGAAAATTTTCTCTTTGCTGACACATTCACACAATAATATGCATAGCAACAACATAGACAGAAATAAATAAAGATATTGGGTACAGAAAGAACGATGAATGATCGTAGATCTGTGTTATTAAATGTTATTTTCTAGTGGTGCATGTTCATGCTTTTGGACCGCAGATGGATTTCTGCGCATTCAGGACATCATTGAACTCCGAAGGTGCAGAGTTCGATTCTGGTAGATGAGCAATCGGTCTTAACTATGTATTTCCTTCCTTGAACAAAGAACTTGCCATGGTTGCTCAGTAGCTAAAGCGTTGAATTCACAATCGGAAGACCACAGTTTCGAACCTCAATCAGGAGTACCCACCCTTCTTCATTCTAAGGTTGTAACACTTTGTTAGAAAAACGCTAACTATGTTTGCCTCGTTGCTGTAGATTCTGCCTTTAATTTAAGACACTTCTAGCCGATGGCATGAGATTAGAGAAGTGAAGCCAGCGCTCCCCCCCCCGGTCCACATCAACTTCACGAAATGAAGACCGCCATAGTAGTAGTATCACAAAAATGAAAGGAAGATCGATGATGTAGCAATGGTGATAAAATTCCCTTCCTCAAAATTTCCGTAGAAACAGAACTTACATCTATGAAACCCCTTATCCTACAGGTGTTTGAATATCAACTGAATAGCAAGCAGTTGGGGACTTCTCAAAGATGTGCCTTCTTCTTCAGCGTCTCGAAGATCAATGGCAACATGGTGATGGCGAAATTACAATTGAAAGCAAATTACAAACGTTTTATTCAACACAACTGCACAATGCGAAATGTTCAGTGAAGATTATAATTATATGTATCACTGTAACTATATAAGTATGTAACTTTTTCAGAAGGTTACCTTTTTGCAATGGTTTCGGAACACTTCGCCAATGCCTTCAGAAAGGGAGGCAAAACAGGCACTAGTTTCTCAACCGAGT